AAAAGAGCACACCAAAAATTGAAATTTAACAGCACAGATAGGGCAAGCACTAATACAAAGACTTGACCTAGAAATCTGCATATACCTTTGTCAAAGCATAAAATATTATAGCTTTTGCAGTTTTCCAATTGTATATATATTTAAAAGGTAATCTTCCTCCCTTGCCAGTTTGGCTCAGTGGTTGGAGCGTCGGCCTGTGTTCCAGAGAGACCCGGGTTCGGTTCCCGCTAAGGGCGCGTACCTCGGTTGCAGTTTGTCTCCGGCCCTGGCTGGTCATGCGGGTGGCAGCCACACAATGTGTCCCTTTCACGTCGATGTTTCTCTCTCTCTCTGTCTTCCTCTCTCTCCCTCCCACTCTATCTGAACGAGAAATGGAAAAATGTCCTTGGGTGAGGATAAAAAAATAAATAAATAAAAGGTAATCTTCCTTGAAGGACATGGCTCACATTTTAAAACTTCCAGGAGTGACCAACAGGTTTTTATTTTCAGTATCTGGGAATGAGGAGATCCACTGATTCCCTTTAAACAGTGTATTTTGAAAACAATAACTGTTTTCAAATTAAAATTTTTTAAAAAGTTGTCCTAGTTTCACACATTCTTAAGAAATACTGAATATATATATATCTATATATAGATATATATATAGATATATATATAGATATATATATATATATGCACCTTGGCCTGGTTGCTTAGTTGGTTAGTGTTGTCCTAATATGCCAAAGTTCTGAGTTCGAATCCCAGGCAGGCCACATACAAGAAACAACCAATGAACGCATAAATAAATGGAACAACAAATAAATGTTATTCTCCCCACTCTAAAATAAAATAAATAAAAAATAAATAAAAATTTAAATACTGAATATAGCCAAGACAGTGTGGCTAGGTGGTTAAGCATCAACCTATGCAATAAGAGGTCACTGGTTCAATTCCCAGTCGGAGCATATGCATGGGTTGCGGGTTCGATCCCCAGTGGAAGGAATGTAGGAGACAGCCGATTATTGTTGATGCTTGTTTCTCATCGATGTTTCTCTCTCTCTCCCTCCTTTCTCTCTAAAAAAATTTAAAACAAAAAGATAATTGTATTTGTATTTTTAAAGCATTATATGCCACATTTATGGAAACTTTTAAAATGCATGTCTTTAACCCATAAATAATTAAGAATACTTGAAGATATGACACCAAGTCCTTCCTCTGCAAATTGAAACTTAAAAAAGGAATGACAGAAGTAGAAATTCACTGTACTGCAGTCCCCAATAAAATAACTGATACAGTAAGCATCATCAGTGAATATTAAAATAACTAAGTAAAAGGCTGAAGACGAGGATATTCCAATGGTACGAGAGTGCCACAGATTGCATGGCAATTGCAAAAAGAAAAAGGTACCTTTAAAAAAGAAACAGAGCTGGTGGTCCCATTAACCAAGTGATGAAATACAGGTAAACTAAATGAACAACCTGAAATTACATCTGATGCAACAGACTATGATATAATATGAAGTACTTAATATCACTTATATCCTTGTCAAATATGTTTAATCTAATTTGAATCTAGGCCGTTACAACTAATTCTAGCTTACAGAAAATACAGAAATAGAGAAGTTTAATGACACCACAAGGAAACAATTGGAGAAATACCAGAATATGAGATTTTAAAAAAATTACTTGATTTCTTCAAAAAGTCAGTGCAACAGAAGAGAAAAAAGTGGGGATTCTAACCATATGCAATGTATAAACCTTCACTAGATCCTGGTTTAGGGGGAAAAGATAATGGAAAGGATGTACCAGGGACAACAGGAAAAAAAATTCTAAACACAAATTAGGTATTTATATGACACTGAGAAATTAGTTAATATACTTAGTTGTAATAATCTGGAGAATGTCTAATTCTAGGGAGATACTTAAAGTTCCTAAAAATGAAGACTCAAAATAAGACTTATTTTTAAATGGCTCAGCCAAAAAAATAATAATACAATAAAAAAAATCACATACATACAACAAAGATTAAGCACATGTGGCAAAAGTTAAGCACTGTTCAACCAGGTAAGTGAGTTCACTATCATTCAACCTTTCTCTTTGAAATTCACTAAAAAGTTGAAAACAACAGAAAGATACTTATCCCAACATTGTTTATAATAGTAAACCTCTAGAAATAAACTGTGTTCAATAAGAGGACTGAGCAAATAAACTATGGTATGCACACAGATGTGTAAAATTATTCAGCAATTAGAAATACCTCTGGTTTCTATGCTAACATGAAAATAAATTTTAAAAGGGGTGCTATTGCAGTACAGCTCTACCTTGAAAAACATTTCTAGGTATTTATAATATACATTTATATAAAGAGGCTTTAGAGGAAGAAATATTAAAATGTTAACAGTGGTTTTAATCCACTGGCAGAATTAAGGAGATTTTTATTTATTTATTTTTTGCTTATCTGTATTTACTGTTTTATAGTAAGTATGTGTAGCTTGTAAAAATTAACATTTTCCTCTAAAAAGTCTACTTCATTTAGAAATAAAGAATTTAAAAATAATTCTTTATTCTACTTCTAGATATCCAGAATAAGAGGAAAATCAGATCCAATTAACATACTACAATGTTCATCATAGAAATTTTCCTAATATATTGAAAACAGTATAAATATTCAAAGATAGGAAAATAACTAATAAAATTATGCCAGGAACAGAACTAAATAACATTACAGCCATTAAAAATTAGTTTAAGCCCAGCCAATGTGGCTCAGTGGCTGAGTGTCAACCCATGCACCAAGAGGTTGCCAGTTCAATTCCTGGTCAGGGCACATGCCCAGGTTGTGGACCCCGGGGGTCATGCAGGAGGTGGCCAATTGATTTCTCTCTCATCAATGTTTCTCTCTCTCTCTCCCTTCCTCTCTCTAGAATCAATAAAGAAAAAATATTCTTTAAAAATCAGTTTAAAAAACTTTTATAACAACGCCAGAAATGAACATACAATGTTGTATTTATTTTTTATCCTCACCCGAGGACATTTTTCCATTTTTTGTTCAGATAGAGTGGGAAGGGGAGGGGGGGGAGAGAGAGAGAGAGAGAGAGACATCGATGTGAAAGGGACACATCGAGTGGCTGCCTCCTGTACGACCCAACCAGGGCGGGGACAAACTGCAACCGAGCGAGGTACGTGCCCTTAGCGGGAACCGAACCCGGGTCTCTCTGGAACGCAGACCGATACTCTAACCGCTGAGCAAAACTAACCAGGGCTTGTATTTATTTTTAAATCCTCACCAGAGGATATTTTTTCCATTGATTTTTTTCAGATAGAGTAGGAGGGAGGGGGAAAGGAGCAGAGAAAGAAACATCGATGTGAAAGAGACACATCTATTGGCTGCCTCCCATACTACCTGGACCAGTGCAAGGAATTGAACCCGCAATCAAGGTACATGCCCTTGACCAGGAATTGAACCACAACTCTTTGGTCCATGGGCTGACACTTTAACCACTGAGCCAAATTGGCCAGGGCAGAATGTTGTATTTTTTTAAAAAGGGCAACAACCATTATAATAAAAACTGATTCAAAGATCATCAAGGGATGCTACATGTAAGGAGGACGTTCATAAGGAATGAGATAGTTTCATATTCACAAAGTAGTTTCCCACCAATTAGTAATTATAAGAGAAAAAGAAAGTATTGCTACACTAGAAAAACTGGATAATACCTCATCCAAGTGACAAAAATTGACATCGTGTGCTTCCATTTGTGATAACCCCCAAAAGGACACAGTATCTACCTATCTAGTATACTATCCAAAAATGCACATCCTATCTCAAATAGTTCAGAAAAATTAGTATGCATACAGATTCACCAATATAATGCTTTCCCACTTGCCTCCTATCATCCACGGATAAAATGGAATATTATTTGTATATTATACATAATAAAAAGTTAAAATAATGTACTCAACACAGGTATTAGTTACATAGGTGAGTTCTTTGTGATAATTGATGCATTTTATAACTAGTTTATTTAAAATACAATGAGGGTGCCTGGCCGGTGTGGCTCAGTGGTTGAGTGTCGACCCATGCACCAAGAGGTCGCTGGATTGATTCCCGGTCAGGGCATATGCCCAGGTTGTGGGCCAAATCGGTGCTCTCTCTCATCAATGTTTCTATTTCTCCCTCTCCCTTCCTCTCAATAAAGAAAAAAAATGATTTTTTAATAAAATAAAATATAATGAGGGTAAGACACAGAACTATATTTAATATTTTGTCAAATCTATAAGAATATTTATTCTGATCTATTTGCAAATAGTCAAAACTGGTTGTATAAAAGTAAAAAAAATATTGAGATTTATCCAAAAATCAAACATAATAATACCTTAATTTCTTTTGCGTTTCTCTAGGACAGGATATAGCATTGCTTTCAATATTTAAGAAAAGTATTACTCCAAGAGACATTACAACATGTAATTAATATCTTCCTTTATTGTTTCCAAACTAGAAGTTATTCTCCCTATACAATGTTTAATTTGCAGTAGAAAACAATAGCAAGGAGGGAAAGGTAGTATTTAAGATTTAAAAAAATCTCAGTTTTTCCTGTATTAAACATTACTTCAAGTGTTCCACCATTCCACCAATTCATGGTATTAAAAATATTAACACCTCTGGCCGGTTTGGCTCAGTGATTAGAGCATTGGTGTTGTGGGCTCGATTCCTGGTCAAAGGCACATACTTCAGTTGCAGGTTCAATCTCTGGCCCAGTCGGGGTCAAGCTGGAGGCAACTAAATGATGTGTCTCTCTCACATCTATGTTTCTCTCTTTCTCCTCCTCCCTCCCAATCTAAAAAAAAAAAAAAAAAAGTCAATGGAAAAATATCCTAATTAAAATAAAAATTAAATTGTTCAACTACAGGAAATCAATGGCTTTCCTCCACTTTAGCAATAAGCATATAGAAATGGAAATAGAAATAAAAATTCCTTGTTCACATCAGAAACAATATCAGAAAAAACTTAAAAAGAAATTTAAAGTGCTTACTTCGGCAGCAAATATACTCAAATTGGAATGATACAGAGATTAGTATTACCCCAGTGCAAGGGTGTCATGCAAATTTGTGAAGCACTGTATATTAAAAAAAAAAAAAAATAGTAAATTTAACAAAAAAGGGATGGGACCTAACTGGAAAAAAAATCAGTGAGAAAATATCCCATGACACTAAATAAGACAATGTGACTGTCTATTTTCTGAACCAGATACATAAATGTAATGCAAATTCTGATTAGAAATCTAACGGGCATTTCTCTGTGGGTATGTGTGTTAAGACTACATGACTGAAAATAACTAAGAAAAGCATAAAAAGAAACTGTGTTTGGGTGTGTGTGGTAGAGGAGAAAGGTTGCCTTATCAAATTATCAAAATAATATAATGTTTCTGATATCAAATCAAAATAGCATTAGTGTAGGACTAGACAAGTAGATCATCAAAGAACAGAATACATAATACAGAAACTAGTTCCATTATATATGAGAATATATAGCTGATCCTTGAACAACGTGGGTGGTGAGGGAACCAACCACCAAGCAGTCAAAAATCTATGTATAACTTAAGTCAGCCCTCTGCACATGAAGATTCCAAACCACTGGTCAAAAAAACATGTAATTCCAGCCCTGGCCTGGTAGCTCAGTTCGTTAGTGTTGTCCTCATACACCAAGGTGGTGGGTTCAATCTCCAGTCAGGACACACACAAGAATCAACCAATGAATGCATAAATAAAGTGGAACAAATTGATGTTTCCCTCTCTCTCCCTTTAAAAATCAATTTAAAAAATCCGCAACACGTAATTCCATTACATAAGAATATAATATATGGCAAGGTGTTCATCTAATTGAGTGGGATGAATTAATAATTCTAAAACAACTGGCTATCCATTTGGAAATAAAATTAGCACTCCCACCTTACATAAAAAATTTCAGATCAATTAAAAATGTAATGAAACACAAAATAAAGAGTTTGAGAATATCTAAGAGTTCTGGGAACCCAAAAGTCTGTATAAACATATACTGTATTTAAATATTTAAAACTTCTGGAAGAGTGAAAGAACAAAGCCAACAAGCAAAAGATGCTCAAAATATTAGTAGTGTGGGAATCATAAAGTATTAAAATACTTTTTGATTCAGCAATCTTGCTCCTGGAAAAAGTCACATAATAAAACTCCAAAGCATATAGAGGTGTATACACAAACACACACACACACAACGACACACATATGTATACATATATACATATACACACTTAAGTTTATTGCATAATGGTTTATAATGGCAAATAAAATATTGGAGATAAAGTAAATGCTCATCAATTAAAAAAATGGTGGAATAAAGAATGATATATTCACACCATAGAATATTATGAAGCCATTCAAAAAGAATTACAGAGTTATTCTGACTGACTTAAGAGAGACTTTCATGAGGTAGTACTGAGTAAAAAAAGCAAGATGGAGGAAAGTATGCCTGATTTCATTTCTGTAAAACAAACAATTACCAAAACACTTTCCTTACATAGACAGAGTTTACATATATATGAACATAAAAAAAATATGGATGGCTACCTGCTAGGTGCTTACATGGGTCTGGAAGGAAGGAAAAGAAGAGGGAACAAGCCAAAAAAAAAAAAAAAATTAAAAAATTGTTTTTAAAAATAAATGTGATCACATCATATATATATATATATATATATATATACTATGAAAATTTATGTAATTACTATAAAATTACATTTCTGTTACATTTTAAAATAGATGCTTCAAGGCAAGGATACTGACTGATGAATTCAATTTAAAGAAAAGATGCCCATGCCATAAAAGTCCACAACTTTACAGACTTATTCCCTAAGAGTACTAGAAACAAGGAAGGTGGTAAAAATATAACAGTGTTCTTTTCTAAGTAAAAAAAAAAAAGCCTTTACAGGTCAATAAAACAATGCTACAGTAGAAGCTTTCTTAACCAACTATTGCAACCACTCAATGAACCAATGCTTAATTCCCTCTGTAAAACATACTGACCGATTCCCATTGTATTCTGAATATTAGTGGATGACAGGTTCCTATTCATAATAACAGCGGCTAACACTTAAATACTTACTATGTGTCTGTTACTCTGCTAAGTGCTTTACATATATTATTATTCCTCACAACAACCTTATAAAGTGCCTTATTTTATAGATGAGGAAATAAAACCAGAGACATGATAAATTACTTGCCCAAGTCACAAAGCTAGTAAGTGTTAGAGCTGGGAATAAAATGCAGATAATTTAGTCCCAGCATGCATGCTCTTAACCAGTCTGCATAATGCTGACCAATGGAAATGTATCCTTTTAGAATACTTCCAAGAAAGCAGGTGATATGTTCCCACAACTTGTGTAAGTCATCTGTATTAACTACTGTAATTATGTAATTTTTTTATGCATTATATAAAAAAATTATTTCTATGAAAACTAAATTGACTACTCAGGAAAATCTCAATAAAGGCAAGTTATCAAAAAAAAAAAAAATTTCCTGTCAAATCAGATTACTTAGTTTTTCTTCAAAGAAACTCAAAACGAAATAGACTCATAGATAACACATTATGGATATAGCTTATGGGGAAAAAAGTGGAGCCCAATGCAAATTCATCCTCAAAAATGATGAAAAACAAATGTTTAAGTTAGCTTTTATCATTTTTACTTTTTGTGATCCCCATTTTAACATACCTTTTTGATTAACCAAACTACTGGTCCCAATCATTTTGGATAAGAGGGCTTCTACTGTATTTTCTCTGCAACAAATTCACAAGCTTTTATTAAGGTAGTGCAGCAAGTTCTGAGAAAAATCAAATCTGCTTTATTGCTAAGCTACAACTTTCAAAATTCAAACTGGAAGTTATTTTATGATCCTTACCCATCTTGTGTGGGTGGGTATTCGCATTCTTGTCCTTTGGGAAATACACCATTAGGATACAGGTCACATATTGGAACTGAGGGAGGGTCTGTTTGAACTTTTGCTGTGAGATACAAATAAAGTATTAACTTCTGTAATTAAAAAGAAAATTAAGCAGTTATCATTACAGTTTTCTCAGTTCCTTATGGTTGTAATATGTCCTGATTTTAAGGGACCTCCTTGCTGTGGCCTTATAGTTAAAACACCATGCTGGCCACCTCCTCTCTGATTTACTATTGCTTGGAAATAAAAATATTCAATTCCTCAAGACTCCATTATGTATTTAAACAGTATATACCTTGGCAGAAAGCACACTTCTAACATTTTTGTCTTCTTTTACAACACTGGAAATGGAATAGCATATAGAGGCCGGCTTTCATAAATAAAAATCAAAGAAACAACAAGAAAATATAAAATCTTATAGCAATAAAGTAAAAATATAAAGCTATTATATATTAATAAAACAAGGTAAACATTTTATTTCAAGGGTATATTAGGTATAAAAGTTATAAGTATATAGCCCTGGGCAGTTTGAATCAGCAGTTAAGAGTGTTGGCCCAAGGACCAAAGAGTTACGAGTTTAATTCTGGTCAAGGGCATCATGTACCTCAGTTGTGGTTCAACTACCGGCCCTGGTTGGGGTTGTGTGGGAGGCCGCCATCCATGTGTCTCTCTCACATTGATGTTTCTCTCCCCCAACCCCGCCCTCCTTCCCACTCTATCTGAAAATCAATGTAAAAATATCCTCAGTGAGAATTTTTAAAAAAGTATACATACCCAGTGCTAAAAGACTTTAGGTAGCCATACACACATTTTTAAGATAATTGAAAAAAGTTAAAAATACCTAGCATATGTTTTAAGGACATTATTTCCCAAACTATGTTCTAAAACAACGTTTCAAGATGCTTTTAAAAGGTAGCTAAGAAATTCGTCTTCTACATTCCCCCCCAAATATATAAGAACTAGTTGTATAGTTCTTATCATATGAAGAACTGCCTTTTGGTTATGAATGCTGTATTCGAGTAATGCCAGGAAGTTGCGTGAGTTATTCTGACTTTTAATGTATACCTATAGCATTTAACAAGAAGTTGAAGTATGTAGTTTCCTCTGGATTATTCTTATCAATTTTTGTCTTAAATTTTAACACATATTTTGCTGTTTTGTTTTGCAACAGGAAAAAAAAATGTGTATAAATAAAAATATGATCGATTATTGAGTCAAATAATTTACCTATAAAATTATTTTTTTACATTTCCTTCTTTAACCCAAATGCTCAATATCATGATCGCCAACTGGTTTAAACGTGTTCTAGTGGCAAGCACACTTGAAAGACACTGTTTTAGGCTCATCATAAGACAATATTAAAATTTTAAATTTAAAAAATCTTACAGGTCATCTAATTTAGCTTTACACTCAAATTTAGGAATTCCATTTTAAACCCTTGACATTTGGCTGAGTGCCTGACAATGGAGCAGTCACTATCTTCCTAGCTAAATCCATTCATTTTGGGAGAGCTGTAACTGTTAGAAAGCTCCTCATACATTAATCTGTTTCCATATCAATTTTATCTGCTAGTTCTTGCTTTATTTTTGCAGTTAAAAAAAATTTGCCTTTCATTTCTACTAATTCCTTCCTTTCTATGATGAGAAACCACTATAAGGGACATGGTTTCTTAATACTTTCACCCCTATTTGCAACCTTGAATTTGTAAAATTGACTTATATTAATAGTCCAAACAAGGTATAATTAGTTAAAGACTCCTTTCTCTTTGGTTCACAATGTATTAGAATGCAAATCCATAGGATCCTATCACCCTATTACCAGCTTTGCATGTCTATCAAATTTTGGTTTGTTAATATTAGCTAATTGTCTGTTTTTCTGATCTTTTGAAACATTAATTTTTGTGAATCAAAGTATTATCTCATCACCTTCAGCTTTATTTCATGTACAAATCTGATAAAAATGTCTTTTATACTGTCCACAAATTAAAAGACTCAAAAAGATCATTAGAGAAAAAATAAAAAATCTATAATCAAAATATCAGTTGAAGTCTAGCCTTTACCACTTATTAGTTGTGACTTGGACAAATGGCTAAATGTGCCAAGCCTCAGTTCCCTCATCTACAAAACGAAGAACCAGATGAAATTTTGAATAACCTTTG